GGTCGGACGACATGGTGTCGCGAAGTGTGCCGTTCTTGAAGTATGTCGACAACATGAAGCCGTGGTGATCATCCATAGCAAACGCTATCATCTTGAGGATGCGGGGGTGGCGAAGATCGCGCAGGAAGCCGACTTCACAGAGAAAGTCGTCTTTACACCCCTCCGTCTCAAAAGTTACGATTTTCACCGCAACTTTCAACGACGAGTTGTGTTTAGCCGAGGCCAGAACAACCTCTCCTACGGCGCCACTCCCTAGACAGGGGCCTCTCACCAGGTTGAAGGAGTTGAAAAAAGCGTCGTGCTGTTCAACGGCATCCATGCTGCGACGTGCAACTTCGGTGACTGACTCCAAAAGAATAATGTGTATTCCTCCGGTAGAGAATTAAGAAAACAACAAACAAACTAAGCAAAACAAAAAAGACCAGACGATGAGTATAAATCGACGATAGACTCCTCAAACGATGTATGAATTGAATATAAATACCACAGCACCACAGACGATGTATGAGTCGAATATAGACACCACAGCACCACAAACGATGTATGGATTGAATAAAGACACCACAGCACCACAAACGATGTATGAATCGAATACAGACACCACAGCACCACAAACGATGTATGAATCGAATATAGACACCACAGCACCACACACGATGTATGAATCGAATATAGACACCACAGCACCACAAACGATGTATAAATCGAATAAAGACACCACAGCACCACAAACGATGTATGAATCGAATATAGACACCACAGACGATGTATAAAACGATGATAGCCAAACGATGTAAGAAAACGATGAGAGTCTCCACCCACGATGCGTATCCTCGGAACGTTCAGAGAAAAGTGACCATATACTGACCAGTGTCCCTTATATACTCAGCTTGCTGGCAGGAAAGTGATTGAAGTTTTCTGTCCCTGATTAAAGTATTGTTGTAGTGTTTGGACACGTTCTTAGAGGACCCGGAGATGAGAACGGGAGTCTTGGCCTGCCTTTGTCTATTGTTTAAAAAAAATTAAAAGCAGGTCTTTATGCAAAGTAAATATTATTGGAGTTTGGTTTCCACACCTAACGTTAACGAGTCTATTGTCCTATTGTCTGGTGACTGCCAGTGAGCTCGTGCCATCTGGTGAAATGCTCAGACAAGCGGAGCAAACTGCGTATGTTGTAACCACGGCGGCTTGCTTCAAAGACATGCCAACAGCTCAGCGTCTATTATGTACCGGACTAGCTGGCCGGGAACTGATTCAAGTTTTCAGTCTGTGGTTACGGCATTGTTGTGCTGTTTTGATAATGTCTTAGAGGGTCCGGAGGTGAGAACCGG